ATCTGGGTGGAGGAGGCCCAGTCTCAAACTAAGAAGGCTTGGAGATCTCAGGCCCTGGTCCCACACACCTGGGTTCCTCTGCCAGTTCCTTCATGTGTGTGGAGAGTGGTCTCAGCATGGCTGTGGTTAAAATATGGCAAGCCACCCGTGATGTATTCGATATGCCAAACACATTCGATATATAACAACAAAATCTCCAATGGAGACGTTACTGGGCCCGCTCGAGCAAATCGACGAACAACGGGAGGGCCTTTACTTACTTATATATATATGTATGTATATATATTTATATATATATTTCTCTCTATGATCTGTTGCCTACTGTCCGAATTCCATCAAACGTGGTGCGGTAATTATGGACAATGGGTAGGAAGTGTCCCATGATGTGTCGCGTGGCTACTTGGTGGCTGCGCGGTCCAGAAAGTGGCCTGGAGTGTGGTGGCAGTTGGGTAGTGGAGGTCGGCTGCCAGGGCTAGGTCCCTGGGGCTCCCCAAGTGGAAACAGCCTGGCATGGAGTCCCTTCTAAAACTATACAAACAAAATTATACAAGTGCACAAACCGGATAGGCCCAGTCACAGCAAAATGTCCATCTTGGGGCCAGGGAAGGGGACTTCAAGGACTCAGGCTTATGCTTGGCATGCAGGAGGCCTGGGTTCAGCCCCTGGCACCATCGTGGTTCCCTGGACGCTGCTGGGGGTAACCCCTGATGTGACCCCCAAAACATCAAAACTAGTAAATCAGTCTTGTAAGCAGGTTAACCTGGCTGCCCACATTCCTCTCAGCTCCCTCCTGGTTTCTGGAGAAGAGAGGCCATCCCAGGGGTCAGCTGAAGAGGCCCAGTGGCTGCCCCTGCTCCCTGCTCCCTGCTGGTGATTGGATTGGCAGGGCTACAACTGTGGTGCTCATTGGCAGCTGTGGGTGGTCAGGGCACAGGCCCCTGCTGTCAATCAAATCCTGTGTCAATCAAACCTTAATCCTGATGGTCGTGTGCTCTCCTCTCTCTCCTCTCTCTCTCTCTCCCTCCTCTTTCTCTCTGTTTCTCTCTCTCTGTCTCTCTCTCCCTCCTCTCTCTCTGTCTCTCCCTGTCTCTCTCTTTCTCTCTCCTCTCCCTCTGCTCCCTCACTGCCTCCCCCTCTTCTCTCTCTCTCTCTCTCTCTCTCTCTCTCTCTCTCGTTTATTTTAGGGCCACGTCCTGCACTGCTCAGGGCTCATTCCAGGTTCTGTGCTGAGGGATCACTCCTGGCGGTGCTCCTGGGACCCTATGTTACTCCAGGAATCGAACCCAGGCCCCGCGTGCAAAGCAAGTAACTTTGACCCACCGGACTGTCCCTCTCTGCCCTACACTTTGTCTTCTCTAGAAGTGACTTAAGTCTCTAACCCATTGGCATTGAGGGGGATGATCCCAGATGAGTCTGTTGACAGACCTGAAGGACTGAGTTGGCGTTTCCCAGGTGAAGAAATTCCTCCTGAGAACACTGTCCAGCCCAGCCTGCAGGGACCCCCACACCCCCAAATTCTCTGCGTCAGTCTCCCAAGGTCTAGAGTCACTGCTGAAAGCTGCAGACACTAAAGCCCCATGGGCTGGAGCGATGGTCCAGCAGGGAAGGTGTTTGCTTTGCACGCGGCCGACCAGGGTTCCATCCCCTGCATCCCTTACGGTCCCTTGAGCACCGCCAGGAGTGGTCTTCTTCCTTCCCTTCTCTTTTCTCCCTCTTTTATTCATTTTTATTTTTGTTTTGGGGCACACATGGTGGTGCTCAGGGCTCACTCCTGGATCTGGGCTCAGGGGCCCCTCCAGGTGGGGCTTGGGGACCATATCGGTCCACCACACGGGAGGAGGCCAGCGCCTTTCCCTTGTAGAATTGTTCGGGCACCGTGCTTTGAAAAGAAAAAAAAAAAGCTGTTCAGTCATACAGTGTTCCAACTAAACAAAAAAATAATACAAAATGTACTCTCAGGTAACAATGGAATTAAATTAGAAGTCAAAACAGGAAAAGAACTATGAAATCCCCAAGCAACTTGGAGTTAGACATCACACTTCAAATCGGGCCAGAGTGGAGTGATAGTACCGCAGGAAGGGCATTTGCTTTGCATGCGGGCGACCTGGGTTCAATTCCCAGCATCCCATCTGGTCCCCTGAGCACCGCCAGGAGTAATTCCTGAGTGCAGAGCCAGGAGTAACCCCTGTGCATTGCCAGGTGTGACTTAAAAAGCAAAAGAAAAAGAATTCCTATAGATTTCTTGTTGCTCTTTCTGTGGGGGGGTCACACCGTGTCAGCGGTCCAGGGGTGACCTGAGATACACCTGCTGATGCTCAGGTGCCAAGAAACACAGAGATCAGACCCAGGGCAACGCCCACTCAAGACACATTTCTACGACTTGACCCACGCCCCTGTCCTGGTGTTATTCTCTAGAATAGCTGGGCTGGGTTGGGGATTTGGGAATCACAGTGCTCAGGGCAATTCCTGGCTCTGGGCTCAGGGGGGCCCCTGGTAGACTCGGGGGATCATATGTGGTGCCGGGGATTCAACCCTGGGTCACCAGGAGGCAAGGTGCCTCTTACACTCTGTGTTATATCTCTGGCCTCTAGAACAAAATTTTGTGGGCAAAGTATTATTTTTTTTTACATTTTTTATTTTTTAATTTATTATCTCATTCTTACTTTGAAGAACCCGGCAGGCTACCAAAGTATCTTGCCCACACGGCAGAGTCTGGCAAACTCCGCGTGGCGTACTAAATATGCCCAATACCAGTAACAATGATGGCTCTCACTCTCCTAACCCTGAAAGAGCCTTGATTACGGCACTTTTTAAAATCTCAGGGCTAGGACGAAGGAGACTTTACTGGTGCCTGCTCCAGGCATTCGACGAACAACAGGCCGATCGTGATTGTGATTTTTTTAATGAATCACCGTGAGGTACAGTTACAGACTTACAAACTTTCGTGCTTATGTTTCATTCATACAATGACCGAGTACCCATCCCTCCACCAGTGCCCATTCTCCACCACCAGTGGTCCCAGCATCCCTCCCACCCTCCTCCATATCTCTCCCCTCCCCTGCCTCTGTGGCAGGGTATTCCCTTTTACTCTCTTTCTCTCCTTTAGGGTGTTGTGGTTTGCAATGCAAGTATTGAATGGCCATCGTGTTCGGTCTATAGTCTACTTTCAGCACGCATCTCCCATCCCGAGCGGGCCCTCAAAACACCCTTTACTTGGTGTTCCCTTCTCTCTCTGAGCTGCCTTTTCCCCAGCATGTGAGGCCAGCATGTGTGGAGTAAACTTCCTGGTCCTTATCCCTACTATCCTTGGGTGTTAGTCTCCCATTCTGTTACTTTATATTCCACGATCACGACCATGATCACGACCATTCTGTTATTCGTCAATTGCCTCGAGCAGGCCCCAGTAACATCTCCTTTGTCCTTGCCCTGAGATTTTTATAAAAGTGCCATATTCAAGGTTCTTTCAGAGTTAGGAGAATGAGACCCATTATTGTTACTGGTATTTGGCATATTGGGTATGCCATGGGGAGTTTGCCAGACTCTGCTGTGTGGGCAGGTTACATTCGGTAGCTTGCCAGTTTGTCCAAAGTAGGAATGAGACGATAAGATGTCGCGCGGCCACAAATGCGGCCGTGCACTTCCAGGAGCTGGGTTTTATATTCCACAGATGAGTGCAATCTTTCTATGTCTGTCCCTCTCTCTCTGTCTCATTTCGCAAAATGTTTTTCGGAGGATAAAAAATATCTTGTCAAGAGTAAGAGTTACGAGCGCAGGGGCTGGAGCAATAGCACAGTGGGGAGGGCGTTTGCCTTGCATGCGGCTGACCTGGGTTCGATTTCCAGCATCCCATATGGTCCCCCAAGCACCTCCAGGAGTGATTCCTGAGTGCAGAGCGAGGAGTAACCCCTGTGCAATGCCCGGGTGTGACCCAAAAAAGCAAAAAAAAGAGAAAGAGTGACGAGCACGTGTAAATCTACCAGGAGACACAGAAGCCCTGTCATGCAGGGCTGGGGAGATGGCTTAGCAGGACAGGAGCAACCCCAGGACCACTGCCCCCCCCCAAGCACCTCCAGGAGTGACCCCTGGGCGTCTGTCTGGAGGTGGCACCAAAACAAATTCCCTCAAACCCCAAACCTAGTAGGTTAGCAATAGAATCTATTTGGCGAATTCTATCTGATCCCTTCGTCCACTCAGAACAAAACATAGAAAGACGCATTTTATTTCTTTGCTTGTTTGGGGCAGACAGGGGCCACAGCTGGTGGTCTTCCAGGGTTCACCCCTGATCTGCGCTCAGGGATCGGGGGTTTATATGGGGTGTGGGGGATCGAACCTGGCTCAGCCGTGGTGTGCAAGGCAAGTGCCTTATCTGCTGTGCTGTCTCTCCAGCCCATATTTGGGCTCGGGGGGGGAAGGGGATGCAGAGTTAGTACAGATACCAATGAAGTAGGCAGCAATCATTTTCTAGACCGAGAAACATGAAAAGCAAACTATTTCACAATGTGCCAAGAGGGGCCAGAGAGATGGTGCAATGAGTAGGGCACTTGAGTTTGACCCCCAGCAGCCCGTGTGGTCCTCACCCGCTCCTCAGGAGTGACCCCTGAGCTCAGAGCTGGGAGTAAGCTGGGAGACTGCCGGGTGTGGCCCCCAAAAGAGCCCAAATCTGCAAGTGTTAAGAACACACCTAAAGGGGCTGGAGTAATAGCACAGCGGGAAGGGCGTTTGCTTTGCACGAGGCCGACCCGGGTTCGATTCCCAGCATCCCATAGGGTCCCCTGAGCACCGCCAGGAGTAATTCCTGAGTGCAGAGCCAGGAGTAACCCCTGTGCATCGCCGGGTGTGACCCAAAACGCAAAAAAAAAAAAAAAAAAAAAAAACCCACACACACAACTAAAAAATGTCCCAGCCCAGCCAAAGCTGCTGTGATGTCCCCGACTGGTGTCCCCAAGAGACCTCAGCAGCCGACGCTGCCGTTCACGGCACCCCCAGACGAGGCGTCTGCCTCAGTGGCGCCCCTTCTTGCACACCCACTTTAACGTCGCTTCGCAGCTCGAGGCCTGCAGCCCGTTCTTGTTCACAGCACCACACTTCTGCACGGAGCTGTTGTGGAGAATCCTGGGAGGAGTCAGAGAGACTCGTCAGAGGCAGGAAGGGAGGAAGGCGGAAGGTGGGCCGGCGGATTTCAGGGCTGGGCTTTGGGTGAGGGCAGGAAGGGGGGAAGGAAGGAGAGAAGGGAGGGAGGGAGAGAGGAAGGAAGAGAGGAGGAAGGGAAGGAAGGGAGGGAGAGAGGGATGGAGGGAGGGAGAGAGAGAGAAAGAGAAAGGAGGGAGGGAGAGATGGATGGGAGGGGGAAGGAGGGAAGGATTGAAGGCAGAGGGAAAAAGAAGGGAAGGAGGGAGGAAGGAAGGAGAAAAGGATGGAAGGGAGGGAGAGAAAGAGAAGGAAGGAAGAGAGGGAGAGAGGGAAGGAAGGGGGAGAGAAAAAGAAGGGAGGGAGAGAGGGAGGAGAGAGAAAGGAGAGAAGGATGGAAGGGAGAGAGAAAGAGAAGGAAGGGAGAGACAGAAGGAGGGAGGAAGGAGAGAAGGGTGGAAGGGAGAGAGAGAAAATGAAGGGAGGGAGAGAGGGAAGGAGGGAGGGAAGAAAGAAGACGACATGCACCCCTTAGGGTCCCCCAAGCCCACCAGTCGTGATCCCTGAGCACAGAGTCATGAGTAAGCCCTGAGCACTGCTGGGTGTGGCCAAAAACACCAAAACGTTTCATTTACATTTTGCAAAATGGCCCATTAACCTCTTTAATTTGCAGGAGACAAACATTTGGCAGAACTGAGGGCACCATGTAGGGGCTGGTGGTCCAGAGGGGGCTCCCGGGTGCAAAGCGTGTGGCCCGACCCTTTCAGCCATCTTCTGAGCCCATTATATATATATATATTATACATACAATATACATATAATACACATATAATATTATATACATATATGTATGTATATATTATATACATATATATTTGTGGGCTGGAGCAATAGCACAGTTGTAGGGCATTTGCCTTGCACGCAGCCAACCCGGTGGACCCGGGTTCGATTCCTCCACCCCTCTCGGAGAGCCCAGCAAGCTACTGAGAGTATCTCTCCCGCACGCCAAAGCCTGGAAAGCTCCCCATGACATATTCGATATGCCAAACACAGTAACAATAAGTCTCACAATGGAGACATTACTGGGCCCGCTTGAGCAAATTGATGAACAACAGGAGGACAGTGACAGTGACAGTGATAGATTTGTGTGTTTGGGGTATTTTTCTTTTCTTTTTTTTTTTTTTCTTTTTGGACCACTTCTACACGCCAGGCAAGCTCCCTGCTTTGCTATCTCTCTGGCCCTTTGTATTTCTTTATTTAGCCCCACACGGCAGTGTTCAGGGCTGACTCCTGGCTCTGTGCTCAGGGCTCACCCCTGGCAGGGCCCAGGGGACCGGATTTGGTACTGGAGATAAAGTCCTCATCAGCCAGGTGCAAGGCAAGTGTCTTGCGCGCTATTCTATCGCTTCCTCCCCAGATAAGCATTCATTATTTTTTCTTTTTGGGTCACACCCAGCGATGCTCAGGGCTCCCTTCTGGCTCCGCGCTCCTGGTGGTGCCCAGGGGACCCTATGGGATGCTGGGAACCGAACCCGGGTCGGCCGTGTGCAAGGCTAATGCCCTCCCTGCTGTGCTATCGCTCCAGCCCCAAAGCATTCATACTTAGTAGAAGCTGCACCAGGCCAGCTCAGGGTCCAGGACCTCTGCTGATGGTGCCAGGGACTGAGCCTGAGGCTCTGCACAAACCAGGTGTGTGCCCTGCCACCCTGGGCCCGGCCTTGATTTTTTCCCCCCAAGGAGCATGGACTTCCCACCGTGTCCCCCATTTCCGCTCCAGGGGTCTGGTTTGACTTGGCGCTTGGCGTTCCGCGTGGATGTTCCTTACCGTGAGAAATTGAGAGCGGTTCCGTCCTCCCACCGCCAGCCCGATCTGTTCCGCAGTCCGACCCAGTGAAACTGCTCACGGAAGAATCCGCTGAACAGTCTCTGAGGGAAAAGACGGAACATAAAGTAACAAAATAAGAGACTAACACGCAAGAACAGCTGGGATAAATACCAGGTTGTTCACTCCATGGCTTAGAGGCCAGCCGCACACTCTAGGGGTAAAGGCAGCTCAGATAGAGAAGGGAGCACCAAAGAAAGGGTGTTGGGAGGATCCTCCCAGGATGGGAGAAGCATGCTGAAAGGAGACTATAGACCGAACAGGATTGCCACCCACTGTCTCTTCTGCAGACCACAGCACCCAAAAGGAGAGATAGAACAAAAGGGAGTGCCCTGCCACAGAGGCAGGGTAGGATGGGGATGGGGGGTGGGGGGTGGGGGTGGGAGGGATACTGGGATCCGTGGTGGTGGGAAATGGGCACTGGTGGAGGGATGGGTACTCGACCATTGTATAACTGAAACCCAAGCACAACAACTTGTAAGTCTACAACTGTACCTCATGGTGTTTCACTAATAAAACAACAAGAAAAGGGGGAGCAGAGAGATAGGACAGGGGGTACCCGCCTTGCACACAGCCCGTCCCTGAGCACAGAACAGGGGTGAGTCCTGAGCTCTGTCGGGTATGGAGAGGAGGAGAGAGAGGGAGGGGGGTCGGGAGGGGAGGGAGAGAGAGCGAGAGAGGAAAGGAGGGAAAGAGAGAGGGAGAGAGAGGGGGGTTGTCTCAAGTGTTCATACTCTGTACCTCATCTGGTTCCCCAACACCACCAGGACCCTGACCTTTGACCACGAGCCAGAAATAGCTTCCTATCACCATGGGGTGTGGTCCCCCCAAACAGAGCCGACACCCAGCGTCATGCCAAATAATAATCCTTCCTATCACCCTGTCTCAGCACGCTCACCACAGACCTAACATTTGGTTGCCAGCCAGACTCAGTGGGCAGGAGTGATCCCCAAGCGAGGTTGAAAGTCGCCCCCGAAAGCTGCCAACGTGAAGCACAACACACACACACACACACACACACACACACACACACACACACACACACAGAAAGAGAGAGAGAGAAAATTCGCATTTGTTAAAGTTCTCACACCAGGCTGGACCCACAGTGGAGAGGGCGTCTGCCTTGCCCCTGGTTGGATCCCTGGCATCCCATATGATTCCCTGCCAGGAGTAATTCCTGGGTGCAGAGCCAAAAGGAACCCCTGAGCATCGCTGGGTGTGGCCCCAACGCCCCCCCCCAAAAAAAGAAGGAAGAAAGAGGAGGAAGGAGGAAGAAGAACTCTTACCATCCCCCCCCCCCCCGCCCCAACAGTGCTGATATGGGAAGCGGATGTGGGCGGTAAGGGTCCATAAAGGTCAGTGTGGGCCAGGCACATGCTGACCTGGGGTCCACCGAGGAGGGGCCAGAGCTTCAGTTCCTTTATCAGATACGGCACAATCAAGGCAGCAGCTGCAAGCCGGGAGGAAGGAGTTTCCCGGCAGACACCACCTGATCCTGCGCCTCAAAGGTCACACCCAGCCCCCAGCGCTGTGGCCGGGTGGTCCAGTGGTCTGGACCCAGGAGCTGGCCCAGAGCCACCCAGATGCACCGCGTGGGGGATCCCAGGTGCCATTCCCAGCACCACAGGGCCCCCAGAGCACCATGAGGGAGCAACACCCCTGGATCTCAGGCTTCCAAGAGAACAAAAAGAACCGACTGCAAATCTCCCCGTTTGCCTCACCCCTACAGCGTCAAGAGTAGTCTCCACAGTTGGACTTTTTTTTGTCTTGAATGACATTCTCAACACCTGACCCCGCCATGCCACGAGATGGATGTCGTACCTCTCTGATATCTCCTATCTGATGAGAAGGAGCCTCGGGTAGTCATTTAAGTAATTTTGAAAGGGAATCCACTGCTGCCGAGGCAGAGATACCGAAACCGGCAGTGATGTCGGCTGTTTCCTCCCACTAACGAGGCTTCATCTGTTTTGCATGCAGTCACAAGTGAGTGTGATTTTTTGCTTGCCTTGGGGGCTCCAAGCAGGTGCCCAGGGACTGAATGGAAGCCGCCTGCATCCAGATATACACTCAGTCCTTGGCACTGCTTCCCCAGTCCCAATAAGACTTCTTCAGCAAATAAACTGAGGGTAGAATGAAGTTGGGGGCATCCATGATGAAGTCTCATCGTACCCACTAGGAACGTGGTTAAAGGTCCTTCATTCAGGACCAGAGCAATAGTCCAGCGGGGAGGGCGCTTGTCTTGCATGCAGCTGACCCAGGTTCGATTCCTGGCATCCCCCGGGATGGGATTCCCACCCCCACCCCGAGCACTGCCAGGAGTAATTCCTGAGTGCAGAGCCAGGAGTGAGCCTTGAGTATCACTGGGTATGACTCAAAAAAGGAAAAACAGGAGAAGAAAAACAAAAAGATCCTTCACTGGTTGGGTCTGACAGTCAAACGAGGACGCTGGCATCAGAGAGTTGGCACCGGGGTGATGGCACTTGACTTGGATGTGGTTGACCCTGAGCCAGACCCCAGCACAACATGGAGCTGGGGGTAAGCCCTGAGTACTGCCAAGTGTGCTCAATAAAAACTGAATCAACACACACACACACACACACACACACACACACACACACACACACACAGAGGACTTGATATCCTAAGGGAATTGCTACATCAGTGAAAACCAAAGATGAGAGGCTGGAGCAATAGCACAGCGGGTAGGGCGTTTGCCTTGCATGTGGCCAACCCAGGTTCGATTCCCAGCATCCCATATGGTTCCCTGAGCACCGCCAGGAGTGACTCCTGAGTGCAGAGCCAGGAGTGAGCCCTGTGCATTGCTGAGTGTGACCCAAAAACCAAAAAAAAAAAAAAGGCATTCACTCATAAGGACGTATGCACAGCACTATTCATTGCAGTACTCAGTAGAGTAAATTGGATATGGAATGAACCCAGGTTTCTAATGCCAGATGAGTAGATAGTGAAGCTCTGGTCTATGTATATACAATGGAATACTATGAGGGAAGGGAATTTGCTTCACATACAGCCAACCTGGGTTCAATCCCCAGTACCCCTATGATCCCCTGAGCCTACCAGAAGATATTCTTGAGTACAGAGCCAGGAGTTAGCCCTGAGCATGGCCAGGCATGCCCCTCTCCCATAAAAAATGGTGGAATACTATGCAACCACAAGAAATGATGAAACCAGGGGCTGGATAGATAGCACAGCGGGGAGGGTGTTTGCCTTGCATATGGCCGACCCGGGTTCGATTCCCAGCATCCTATAGGGTCCCCTGAGCAACACCAGGAGTAATTCCTGAGTGCAGAACCAGGAGTAACCCCTGAGCATTGCCGGGTGTGACCCAAAAAAACAAAACAAAATTTAAAAAAAGATGAGATTCTTTCTGTCCCAGAGTGGGGCAGTTGTGTGGTGACTGCACTTTGTGATGCGCCATCATGTCACCCTGCAGTGTCCTTCTGTCAGTTTGATGATGATGCTCACAGGCATTGCAAGAAGGACGAAACTTAGAATCCAAGTCTTCTAGTTGGCAAACGACGACAGAGACAGTACATTCAGGGGCCAGAGAGATGGCTGAGCATCTCAGGTCTGATCCCTGACATCCCACTCAGTTCCAGGAGTGACCCCCCAAACACTGGGAATAGCCCCCGAACCTCACCAGGTGTGTGCCCCCAAATCAAAAATAAATAAGCAAAAGAAGCTCAGTGCTTCGCAAATGTTTGAGAGTAGCCCTGGAGCACTGTCCTCCTGTTGTTCATCGATTTGCTCGAGCGGGCACCAGTAACGTCTCACAACAAATTGTGAGACTTGTTGTTACCGTTTTTTCGCATATCAAATACGCCATGGGGAGCTTTCCAGGCTTTGCCCTGCGGGCAGGATACTCTCGGTAGCTTGCCAGGCTCTCCGAGAGGGGCGGAGGAATTGAACCTGGGTCGGCCGCGTGCAAGGCAAACGCCCTACCCGCTGTACTATGGCCCTAGCCCAAAAGTTTGAGAGTAGGAATGAATGTTTCTGGGAGATTGGGCAGACGCCTTCATATCACGTATGATCAGCAAGTGTAACTGCATGCAGTTGAGGCCTCAGAGATAGCTCAGAGGATTGAACATGTGGGACCAGCCTGTGGAGGCTGGGGTTCAATCCCAGCAAGCTCTGCGGCACCCGCCCCCCACCCTGCCAAAAAAGACAGTGACAGATGGGAGTGGTGGGACTTAGGCTAGAACCCACAGCCTCAGCAAGTGCTCTGCTAAGACTCTCTGCATCTCAGCCCCTCTAACCTGCCTCCCACCAGTTTATAAGGTGCTCCCAGAGGGGCTGAAGCAATAGCACAGCGGGGAGAGTGTTTGCCTTGCACGCGGTCGACCCGGGTTCGATTCCCAGCATCCCATATGGTCTCCCAAGCACCACAGGAGTAATTCCTGAGTGGAGAGCCAGGTGCTACTTACAGTGGGGATGGCGCTTGCCTTGCCTTGCACAAGGTGGACCCGGATTCAATCCCCGGCACCCCATATTATACTTCCTTGAGCACCTCCAGGAGTGATCCCTGAGTGCAGAGCCAGGAGTAAACCTTGAGCACTGCCAGAAGTGGGACCCCCAAATCAAATTATAATAGTAACATATAGGTGAGAATTAAACATTAGAAAAAATAAAAGCCAGACTGCAATTATGTTCTATATACTTGTGAGTAGTGTGTGTGTGTGTGTGTGTGTGTGTGTGTGTGTGTGTGCATATCTGTAGATGCATCATAAAATTAGATGCAAAGCTGTGAACTGTTTTTTTCTCCAGGGTAGGTGTTAACTAGGGCACTTAGGTGTTTTGTCAGTGTTGTGTTTGTTGGTATTTGGGAGAGGAAAAAACCCCACAAATCTAAGAGGAAATGAAGGCCAAACCCAAATGACCCAGGGACACTTGTTTTGGTGAACCACACCCCACAGTGCTCAGGGTTCACTGCCCACTCTACACTCAGGGGTCACACTCTGATGGTGCTTGATTGTGGGTTGACCATGTGCAAAGCAGCCAGTCTACTCTCTCTCTCTCTCTGGCCCCA